TTGTGTATTTTCCGCACTATAAGGTGCACTTAAAAGCCTTTAATCTTCTCAAAAAACGACAGTGTTCCTTATGATCCGGAGCGCCTTATATATGGATCATCATCTTATACGGTAGGGGGCGGTAAAACTTCTAAGCGGTGAGCAGCCGGTAACAAGAAGTAGACGAATGAGAACGTCCTCGTCTCAGTTCTCGCGCATGCGCCCATAAGGAAGTAATGGAATAGTGGAATAAAGTCGTTATTTATGTTTTTTTCGCACAAAAAGTAGTCTCGTCGCTTGATAAACTTATAATTGAGCTGCTGTAGGCACATGGAATATTTAAACCTTTTCTTTAATGACTTTATGGGCCGTCAAGAGCCAGTCCCTTAGGCAGTCTATGTAGGACTGATCCAGCTCTCAGATTCAATCAAAAATATCTTTATTTGTGTTCCGAAGATGAACGAAGGTCTTACGGGGTTGGAACAGCATGGGGGTGAGTAATTAATGACTTAATTTTCATTTTTGGGTGAACTAACCCTTTAAGATTGTAGGAAGTAACATTACTGTACTTAGCGTGTCTGGAAATGTGTATTATAAACAATATGATAGTAGTGGGATGAGTGATGTTAGACAGTAGATCTAGTACATAAAATAAAAGTCCTAAAGCTCCTACTTTTTGTTATCCTGGAACAGTCTTTTGTATTCATTTCATGTCTCATATATGTAGTTTAGCTTGCTACTTCATTACAGTTTACCATTATTTCAGAATATCTGAAAATTTGTAATTTATCACAATAAAAATAGCGGAGGTCTCTCCATAATCCATAAAACGTTCTGCCGATGTTGATCCGATTGTTTTGTTTTTTATATTTATGTGGAGTGTGTGTTGAGTGAGTGTTTTGGCGTTATCAGACTCATGTCGTTCGCTGCAGTGCCGTCGCATAGACTGTATATAAAAAGTAGAGAGGCTCGGGAGCTCGCATGCACGTCACATCTGATGGATTTCACAGAAAATCCGACCCCGAGACTTCACATAGAAATAGGAATACCGGCCTTCAGAGTTAATAGCATGTGTGTTTAATGGCGCGTTCCAGGCAACCTGTAACTCGTGTTTTTCCAACCTTATAGACCATTTCACAAGAAGTAAACAACACTGGTCCAGAAGCACTTCCTGTTTAAGTTTTTTAACTCTACAATAAAAGCTGGGATAAAATACAACCAACAGAACATTTAAAACTGAATCAAAAAGTTAAACAAACATCTTTAAGATGTTTTATTTACATGTGAAATAAAGAAAACAGTTACAAACTGAAACAGGAAGTGCTTCTGGACCAGTGTTGTTTACATCTTGTGAAATGGTCTATACCCGTGAAAGTGCACTGGAACGGCAGTCAAACCCGTGACTTCCCACCCGTGAACTCGTACTAAACCGATGTACTCCCAGTTACGAGTTCTGAAGTCACATAGCCCGCGAACATATACAAAACTACAATGACAGCCCCTACGGATGCAGTGTTTCTGCAGGCGGTACTCGGTGAGATACACTTTAGGACAATAACGTTAACTAGTTTTCAGTCCAATGAGTGCAAGGATAAATTAATACCAAATACATTTCCAAATATACAAATAAAGTAAAATAAAAGTTATAACAGCTTATCTTTCCCCATGCGCTATTTTTCCTCCTCAGTTTCCCACAAATAAACAAGGAGTAAGCACCTTTGGCGTTAGAAATTATTACAAATGCGCGTGAGCCCCGTAAGCTAGGTCCGCCATGCTGGTTTGTTTACATCTAGGTAGTTTGGCGCGAATGACCTAGAATGCTACAAAGTCGTGGTTTGAAGTCGTGATTTACGTGCTCAAAAACCTGCCTGGAAAGCAGCATAATTACAACCCCTTCACACACAGGCAATACAAAAAGGATTCATTTTAGAAGAAAAACTACATATAGCACCTTTAATGATTTTAATTTATCATTTAAATGCACCAATGTTAAAAACTGCGCATATTTTTACAAAAAAAAAAAAAAATTGAAAGAAACTTCCATGAACAATTTTGAGTAATTAATAACTCAAACAAATCATTGAATCGTTGAGTTTGGAATCGAGTAATTGGAAGAAGTTCAATTATGTAATTATAAACTAATACATTTAAATTGGAAATCTGACATGCAAGATGAGGAGGGACTTTAGACTGAACAGCCAAATAAAAAGCACATCAATATTCACAATCACTGTGAATGTTCTATATGTGCCCAGCGTATTTCTCTCATTCTGTCTGTTGTCAGCTGTACCTCGATACAACATCAGCAGCCCACATTTGAAAACACCTACATCCCTCCATCATTTCAGCCCATCAGTGGCACATCTCCACCGGAAGATTCTGTACATCCTCCTAAATGGACGGATGAGCAGAGCTCTTTACCCGCCATTTATCTCATTCATTTAGTGGGCTAGAGGTGTGAGGTGCTGATAGCCGTCCCTCTCTGTCCCGACAGACAGACGGTCTGGCGTGCAAACGGTTTAACACAACACCCTGATGCCTGCATTAAAGCTCATTTTTCTTCATAGCTCATCAGAGCTCAGAGATATTAGGGGTCAGATTCACTAACAGCTTACTAAACACTCTTTTGGCATTGAAAAACTACAGGATTTACTAAGAAGTTAGCGTTAAAAGGCGTGGACAGGGTTATTTTTGCGGCTGAACTTATTGCATATGTAGGAGTTTCCCTTTCAGACACAACATTTATGAAAGGAGATTATATAAATGAATCATGCAAGGTGATTTACTAAGTGTTGCGCTCGTCAATTTACTGGTGTTTGTGCCATTATTTACCACACAAAAAAGCATGTCTAAAACCCGATGCTAACTGAGCTTTTTAATTTGTGCTTTTTAGTAAATCTGGCCCTAGGTGTCTGTCTGCTAAAAGCATGAACTGGAACGACGCTTTCATTGAGCGCGTGTGAGTTTTACACCATATGCTTAGTAAAGAAACACTCTACACAAGCATTCAGATTTTGAGGGGAGGGACTATTATTGTGCGTAAACATGTTTAAAAAAATGTCAACATATATAAAACTGTCCGAAATCACCCCTTTTACCATAAAATATGGCAATATTTGAGGGGACAGCTATTTGTAGTGGTGTCTGAAACCATAGTGCACATTATCGAGTGCACTCATCCCATAATACACTACAGTAACGACTAGAGAAAACCCATAATGCACTGTGACTGTGAGGGTCATGCCAAATGACTTTAAGTGGACTATATTAGTGGAGTCGTGTAGGGAAAAGTGAATAGGGGTCTTTTGATCTCATATGGGTCTGAAATTACGTGGTTCGACCAATGGGGCGCTGTGGCGCAATATTGTAATGCAGTACTCATGAATGCAATCCAAATCCAACAGAAGAAGACGGTGCCTCGGAGTGTAAACGAAGCCAAACTAGTAATGTGGGAAAGTTTAACATAACTAAAAAAAATGCTGTCATATGCATATAATCAACAGAAGCCTACTGATTAATTAGTGAAATTAATCGTTAGTTCTAATAATCGTTAGATTAATCTGTTATCAAAATAAAATAATACCAAAAAATAATGATAAGCAAAGACTAGATAGATTTAATGATAAAATAATAGAATGAAAGATAGAGTTAAAGTTAAATCACACAATAAAAAGAATGAAACAGAGATAGACGGACATTAAACAATAGATGGAACGAACAAAAGAACAAACAATGGACATACAGATGGAATGAGTGATAGACGGAACAAAAAAGCAAACGATAGACAGACAGACAAATCATGTTGTTTACAATGTGTTAAAACATACTTTCAACATGCTAATATAAGCTATAGTAACATGTTAAAAAACATGCTGGATTGTTAAGGGAAGCAACATGTTTAAACATGTTAGCAACATGCTAATTTATGTTAATAAGAACTTGCTAAAACATGTTAGCATCATGTAAAATCATGTTAACAATGTGTTAAAACACTAGCAACATGCTAACCTATGCTAGTGTTGTGCTAATCTAGCATGTTAAAACATTAGCAATATGTTATCATGTTAGCAATGTGCTGTCATACTCATTCATGCTAGCAACATGCTAGCAAAGTGTTAAAACATGTTGGATAAAACATGTTAGTGTTTGGTAATACATGCTAGTAATATGCTAATTCATGTTAACTTGTTAAAATGTTATTAAATACTAGCAATGTACTAAAAACATGCAAAAAAATCCAAATACTAGACACATGCCACGACATGATAAAACATGATAAAACGTGTTAGCAACATGATAAAACATGCTAAAGCTTGACCCAGACAGCAAACTGACATTGAATCAACGTGGAAACGACGTCTCTCATGACATTGAAACAACGTTGATTTTGCTCATCGAATTAACGTTGAACCAACGTCAGACGCGGCATTCTTCAAAGCTAAATGAAAATCGAAAATTGGTTTGCTTTCATAACGTTGTAACAACGCGTTGATTTCAAGTTGATTTTCCGTTAGTTTTGAAAGAATGACGCGTCTGATGTTGGTTCAACGTTAATTCGATGAGCAAAACAATGTCAGATCAACGTTGTTTCTATGTCATATTTCCACGTTGATTCAATGTCAGTTTGCTATCTGGGGAAGTAATGCTAAAAGTACACATTTTCATATACATAAAATGTATAAGTCGTTTTCAAAATCAAAGTTTGTCCCAATGAACTTCACTTTCTAGTTTTACACATCTAGCAGAGAGTAAACCGCTAACACTCAGGGAAGGAGGTCACGATAGAGTTCATGCATGAACTGGCTAATAGGTTAAAGTGCATCTGGTATTTGAGTGGACGAGTGAGTGTTGAGGGCAGATGCCCTGCAGTGAGAAACATTACGTTTTCGATCCCTCAATCAAAAGCAGCCACACTGTTTAATCAATACAGAAAGCACTCTGCTAAACATGAGAGAAGAGAGACCCATCTGGCCCGTGGGGGAAACGCACTCAAATGGTGGGAATGAATGAGACTGCGTTACCTTTTTGGCTCTTTGGCTTATATTTGGTCCTTTAGTAAGTAGCTTTTCATTCAAGTACTCTCGATTCTACAACACAGAGGCAGGAGGGGGGAAACACAGAACATATATCAGTAACAGACCGCTGTGAAGCACTGGTTAAAGCATTTGAAGTATGGAGAGAGTATACTGCCGTACCTTAGCCTTTTGGAAAAATTTACATTTCAAAAGCTCGGCTGCAGTGGGCCTGTGGAGATGAGAAGAGCCGAGTTAAAGCACCTGATGCTGACATTTTCAGACCCGTCCATATTTCAGGACTCAAATAGGCAATCAGATTTTTATTTGACCTGGTGACATTTTCACTTTTCCTAAGGCCCAATTTTGGGATATTGTCAGAGAGTCACATTTTAAATAATCAAGTAAATAAATATTCAAGTGTAACATTATGTGATATTATTTTTAACGTGCATGTATGTGTATATACATACAGTGTAGGTGTGTGTACTGGAATGAATATCATGTTATAAAATTAATATCAGCCCTATAACTCAATGTCCAATATATTGACCAGATGAGACCACTGATATAGACAGTGAACAGATCAGCAGCAATTTATGTTCTCGAGATCACATTAGCGTATCCGTATCTATTTGAGCGTGATCAGACCTACTTTGTCTGTCTGGGATTTCTTTTATTGACTGCAATTTATCTTTAGAAAGAACTTCTATTCAATAATGTACACAGCACAATTCAAATCAATATGTTTGCCTTGAGTATTATAGGGCTTTGTTGAAACTTCTGGTCATGCACTGAGAACCTTCAGCATTCGATATGATTCCTGGACACAGATTTACTCATTTGTGTGAACAAATAATGATGAATCGGCGGATTCAAATTACCTCTTTGCAGGGTCCTTCTGAAGGCACAAGGATATAAGTTTTCTAAAAGATTTCCCATACTTCTTAAGCATCTCTTTGTCCTCAACCCCAGTCTCCAGGGTTGGAGGATCGTTCTGCAGCGTGAGCATTAAAACCTGCAAACATCAGATAGGAAAGACTTGTAGAATATTTGTAGGGTTGAGAGAAAGTCTTTAATGCTGCTACTAGGTAGAGGAATACTTCTGAAATGCTAACCTGTATGGCAAGCCGTTTTAGATTCAATTGTACCCAGACATACTCCTCATAATTTCACTTTTACTAGTAAGAATTCAATTAGTAAACTCTCTAATTCAATTCATACTAGTAGCAATTTCAATTAGTGAGCTTTTTAACTCAATTCTTACTAGTAGGAATTCAATTAGTGAGCTCTCTAACTCAATTCTTACTAGTAGCAATTTCAATTAGTGAGCTTTTTAACTCAATTCTTACTAGTAGGAATTCAATTAGTGAACTCTCTGATTCAATTCGTTCTAGTAGCAATTACAATCAGTGAACTCTCTAATTCAATTCTTACTAGTAGCAATTTCAATTAGTGAGCTCTCTAACTCAATTCGTTCTAGTAGCAATTTCAATTAGCGAGCTCTCTAACTCAATTCTTACTAGTAGGAATTCAATTAGTGAACTCTCTAATTCAATTCGTTCTAGTAGCAATTACAATTAGTGAACTCTCTAATTCAATTCTTACTAGTAGCAATTTCAATTAGTGAGCTCTCTAACTCGGTTCTTACTAGTAGGAATTCAATTAGTAAACTCTATAATTAAATTCTTACTAGTAGCAATTTCAATTAGTGAGCTCTCTAACTCAATTCTTACTAGTAGCAATTTCAATTAGTGAGCCCTCTAATTCAATTCTTACTAGTAGTAATTTCAATTAGTGTGCTCTCTAACTCAGTTCTTACTTGTAGGAATTCAATTAGTGAACTCTCTAATTCAATTCTTACTAGTAGCAATTTCAATTAGTGAGCTCTCTAACTCAATTTGTTCTAGTAGCAATTTCAATTAGTGAGCTCTCTAACTCAATTCTTACAAGTAGGAATTAAATTAGTGAGCTCTCTAACTCAATTCTTGTAGCAATTTCAATTAGTGAGCTCTCTAACTCAATTCTTGTAGCAATTTCAATTAGTGAGCTCTCTAACTCAATTCGTACTAGTAGGAATTCAAAAAATTAGCCCTCTAACTCAATTCTTACTTGTAGCAATTTCAATTAGTGAGCTCTCTAAAATAGCCAGTTCATGACCCCTTTACAAAAACAGGGATTTCACCAAAACACACAGCAGAAATTTATCACACTCCGTTTACCTTCATAGGGGGGTACCGATGATACGGCGCAGATCCTGTTGCAAGTTCAATGGCAGTGATTCCGAAACTCCAAATGTCAGCTTTGAAGTCGTAACCCCGTACCTGCAGTCACATGACATGCTAACTGACACCAGTTGATGGAATCTGGCAAACTATGACCCACATCAGCCATGCTTTTTCCCACAGCAGAAATCAAATGATTAAAGTCACCATTAAATTAAAAATTTAATTTTTTTTAAATGGAAAACTGCAGTATTTATTATAAATGACTGATCCATGCACATCATTGTTTTTTGTTTTTTTATTAATTTGCCCTCGTATTCTTTCATCTAAATAACTTCCCCTCTTGCTCATTGATGACGAGGACGGGACGACCTGTCACTCACATGAGATCCATCAATGGCAAACCATCCGATCAATTCCCCACAGACAAAATCAAGTTCCGCTCTACAATTGATGTTGTTCAAGAAGCCATTTCACTTGTATATACGTCACATTAGAGAAGAAAAGACTATTTCAACTTTCATTTTGTGCCGAATTTAACTTTAACTTTAACCTTAATCTCCATGATCTGTGCTATAATAGTTTAATGGTTATTAATAATTTAGTATCGGAAAAGCTCTTAGAAATAGGCAAGCTGTGAACACTTTCATGGCTCCAAGATCCGTCATTTTACAGCAGATGAAAGAAACATTTTGCTTTGTTACAAAACCAAGTGAGCATCTTTCTTCTTCAGCAACTATGCTTCAATTGAGTCTGTTATCATCTCACTGTTCTAACGGCATGATATAAGCACAAAGATAAATAGCACACATAAATATTGGGTAAAATATTAGATTTTAATTACATTTAAGAAACTAATTCAGAAACTTTTATTCAGCAAGGATGCCTTAAATTGATCAAAAATGACAGTAAAGACATTTTAAATTAAAGATTAGTATTTTACTGTATAAAAGCGCATACGAATGTTCTTTAAAATGTGTAAAATCAGTAGTGTTTGATATTAATTATTTGATATTGACATTTCAGTATGGAATAATCCACATTTCTTGCTTTGTCCACTATCTTTGATGTATTATGCTTTTGAGCTTGTCAATGGTAATGCATACTGGGATTGACCTATTCACGTCTTATAAGGATACATTTAAAGGGATAGTTCACTTTGAAATTAATTTTGTTATGTTGCGTGTTTTAGATCATGTTTAATTTGGACTTCTCTGTGTATGCTCTTTGAGGTGGTGACCATAGACCTCCATTATATGACTGACAGACAAGAACGGTTTGACCTAAAAATATAAAAATTGAAACTACTGCGGAAACAAAGACACCTACATCTTGGATGCCCTTAAGGTAAGGCAAAACATACCAAAAAATAATTTCAAAGTGAACTATCCCTTTAACGCTGCTTTAAAATGAAGCCCAAACAGACTATCTAACTACAGTGTGTACACTTTAATGTTGGTCCTCTGAGCACACTGACCTGCTCCATCACCTCCGGGGCCATCCAGCATGGGGTCCCCACAAACGTCTTCCTCACTTTGTGTCTAGTGACGTCTCCACCGGTGGCCAGAAAAGCACTCACGCCGAAATCTACAGAGCAAACCGTTTCAAATGAGTTACAACCTCATCAAAGGATCATGCACAAATAACATCTACTGAAACATGGGTTGAAGGGCTGAAAGTAAATGGTTAAATAGATATTCAGTTTGACATGCATGCACAGTCTGATAAATGAGTTCAGTCAGTCAAACACTGAAAACATGTCTATATAAAAAATCTACACAGTACGTCCATCCTTCACAGCCATATTTACTTTTTCTTTCAACAATCAGAAGAGATTACTTTGTTGAGAGTGTAGTTCACATCAGAGCTTTTTCTATTGAAAAAAAAAAAACGATTTCACGCACAAAAGGTAAATTATTTTAAAAAATTAACCTGGACGCCTTTTTTATGAGATTTACCCGCGTGTGTGTGTGTGTGTGTGAACGTTTTATAAATTTGTCAATAGAAAACATTTGAATAGAAACGGCTCTGATGTGAACTACAATCTCAACAAAAGCAAACCAAGGTCACTGGTGGAAACCCCTGTTACATAAAAACCGATCAATATTCCAGAACTAGATCAGCCAGTTTCCCTCCAGGGACGGAAAAAGTCCCATTTCAGGAATTTAACACTTCCCCACAGTACGATCAATGTATCTCAGGCCTGTTTGTCTGCTCTCCTTCATGTGGCTTGAACTTTCAAATTCACAAAACAAAATGTAACAGAGAACAAAAGTGGAGAACATATTATCATTTAATAATCAAAACATAATTAACTTTCTTGATGGAAAAAAAAAGAAAATGAATGACTGATTAAATCACTGCTTTTTATTGCTTTTATAGTTAGCATAATTAAAGTTAATTAACATGGTTTAATCTCTCTTAAGGCCCATAAACGTTGCATTTTAGAGTGACAAGCAATATTAATTAAAAAAGGATTTTTACAGCTAAAAAAAATGCTTAATTACCTCATGGCTATAAATAAGCTCTTAAAGGGCTGAAATAATGTGACTGAATATTAAGAATGTATTGGTCAAAATCAGTTAAGAGCAACATATCTATCTATCTATCTATCTATCTATCTATCTATCTATCTATCCATCACTTGAGACAAACTTTTATGTTGACAAAGACTTTTATACATTTTATTTATATGAAAATTTGTTACTTTTATACATTTTCATATACAAGCTTTCAGCATGTTATATCATGTTGCTAACAAGTTTATCATGTTTTATCAGTCATAGTATTATTTAGATTTTTTGCATGTTTTTAACATGTTTTAGTACAGTGCTAGTATTTAATAAAATGTTTCAAGCATTTTAACAAGTCAACATGAATTAGCATATTACTAGCATGTCTTAATTGATAAAAATGTATCTTTAACACTTTGCTAGCATGTTGCTAGCATGAATGAGTATGAAAGCACATTGCTAACATGTTAACCTATTGCTAATGTTTTAACATGCTAGATTAGCACAATAAGTTAGCATATATTAATTAGCATGTTGCTAGTGTTTTAACACATTGTTAACATGATTTAACATGTTGCTAACATTTTTAACAAGTACATGAATTAGCATGTTACTTAATTAACATGTTGCTAACACATTACTAGCATAACATATTGCAAGTGTGTTTTAACACATTGTAAACATGATTTAACATGTTGCTAGTATGAATTAGCATGTTGCTAACATGAATTAGCCAATTAGCATTAATTTAACCTGCGGCTAGAATGTTTTAACACATTGCTAGCATGGATTGGCATGTTGCTAGCAAGTTTTAGCATATTGTCCTAAGCTGTTGAAACTTAAATACTCTTGGATGTCAAAAAACACACATTTTTTCCAGCTGTTTCTTTAAGACATCTATGTAAATGCTCACTTTGCATGTGAACTAAGAAGCCTATTCATCTGCAAGCTGCGGATTTGTTGTTGAGCCAATCTACTGCCCCATGAAAAATTGACAAGATTTTGGTGGTTTAACTTGTATTAGTATTAGTATTAACTAACTTTAATACAAAAAGCAACAAAACATTTCAGAAAATCTACAGTAAAGTTTCAGTAAAGTCAAAGGCAAGCAAAGTTACAAACCTGCGATCTGCACCGATCCATCTTCTCCCAGTAGAATATTACCAGCCTTCACGTCCCTGAGGTCAAACCAAGCAAGACAAAGCACACACATGTCACACTTTATTATAATCTTAAACATTAACAAAAAAATGCCAGTAGCTGAAGAATAAATCCGCATGTTTATGAATTTTTCAGACCATTATAACAGCAGTGATGGCCTGGAGGGAAAATACCACATTAGTATTTTTCAGCACTTAACATGCAGAGGAATTTAATTAAAGCATATTTTACTCTAGTTTCACAAAACCAGACGTTTGACTGTCAGCATAAAGTCTGGCCACTTTGCATCCTATTTAGTGTCTGTCTTACTACAGAGAATGTGTACAAACTTCATCAGAATTAAATCCAAATTGATGTCCTCCCAAATATAAAATAAGGTGAAATATGCAGTTATGTTCATAAATGTCTAATTTACTTGGTATTTACCAAGTAGGTGTTTTAAAAAACCCTCTTTTGAGTATCTTTCAAAACTTTGATGCCACTAACTAAACTTTAACTTCACGTATGATTAAGGCCTTGTTCACACCTGGTATTAAGGACCCATTTTGGTTGATCGGATCACAAGTGGACAACGTTAAATACAGTTGTAAACGGGGTCTAAAAAGCTTTGTCCACTTTCGATTTAAACTGTCGACTGGAGACCCAAGTTGACGTAGCTTTATGCAATCACACTACATTAACTGACTACAGGCCCATGGAGAAGGAAGTGAATAGTTGAAATAAAGTCGTTATTTTTGTTCGTTTTTGCGCACAAAAAGTATTCTCGTCGTTTGATAAAGTTAAAATTGAGCCACTGTAGTCACTTGGACTATTTTAACGATGTCTTTAATGACTTTTCGATGCCAGCAAGAGTCATTCCCTCAAGAAGCCTATGGACTAGTATTCAGGAGCGATCTTAATATCTTAATTAAATATCTTAATTTGTGTTCTGAAGATGAACGAAGGTCTTACGGGGTTGGAACAACATGAGGATGAGGAAATACTGACAGAATTTTCATTTTTGGGTGAACTAACCCTTTAAAGTATTATTCTTACCACTTTGATGCCACTAACCAATAAAACTTTAAGTTCAAGTACAACTGAATCAAATGGCCTGTGATTGGAAGGTTACATAGTGGGATAGTGACAATAATAGATTTTTCCTTACCTGTGAATCTGCCCGTTTTTGTGGAGATAATCTAATCCCTCCAGTACTTCCTTCAAAATGGTTGCTATTGTGGATTCATCTAGGACGCCGTTTTTATGCTCTCCTTTGATAAACGTGTGCTTAATGATGTCTAACACTGATCCTGGATGAATAAAAAGCCTTGTAATCACGTGCAAATGTAGAAAATATAAGCATATAACACATAGAGTCACCACAAATAGTATTTGGACACACAAACTGAGCATTGGACAACAGTATCGAATCAAAATCACATTTAAAAAAACACAACCACACTTTTCAGGCTAAACATTTCATAAGAATATGATAAAACAATACATCTAGTGTTAAAAATGAATACAATAAGGCTTTGTGGTTGTAACTGTTAACCGATTCCTCTCACCTCCACTCAGGAGTTTCATGACGAGCCAAAGTTCATCTTTCACAACGAATGAAGTGTAGTATGTGACCACGTTTGGATGGTTACACTGGCTCATGGCTTGGATCTCTTTCTGTGGAGACAAATGGAGGCGTCTAGCTTTATAATGCATGTCTTTAATTATGTCTGTGTGCTTTATAATACATGCACATCAATGTGATTGTAATGGAAGAAACAGAGAGAAGTTCTTGAACTGATTTATAAAAGACACCATTCACCAATAGAATAAATCTCACAAAATCTGTCTGTGTGTTCAGGTCAAATTTCACCCCCAAATTTAAAAAAAATTAAAAAAAATAAAAAATAAAAAATAAGCCCATGTTTATGACTATGATTTGTTTGACTTCTAAAACATGTACATACCAATTAAACATATTTATCCTCCAATTTGTATTACTCTATTAGAAGAAAAAAAATAAATTCTCATTGATGTAATGTCACGTATATTGTTGGCTTTAAAAATATATATATATTTTTGCTAAATGAATTAATGCAAATGTACATGACTCAGTTCGTACTGTCCATTGTGCATAAACATTTATTCAATTTGATTAAACGATTTATTTGAGCCATCAAAAATGTTTCAATAATTTTAATATAAATGTTTCTGATCTGTTACCATGTATTGTTATATTGATGTATATACTGTACATGGTAATGATTGGTAAAAGAAAACCTTTGACTTTTAATGTACTTTAAAAACTACATTTAAAGTCCCCCCTGCAGTCAATAACTTTATCTAAAAGTCATGTTTTGCATTATAAGTCAATTATAAGTACAAAAGGAAAAAACTTTAAATATTATATTTGGATTATCAAAGATGACTTTTAGATAAAGTTATTGACTGCGGGGGACATTAAATGTAGTTTTAAAAATACATTAATAATCAAATGTGTTTTTTTTTATTCATTTTAGTAAACGTGGATATTATTAATATGCAAATTAGTCTCCGCCTCCACTCGCTCACACCAGCTCGGATTACCTGATCCTGATTTAATAAGGAATCTTTACTTCTGAAAATATCAGACAAATATAAACTCTTATCCTCGGCATGTCAATGCTGTTTTCAGTTTTTTTCAAAGCAGAAATCATGCATAAAAATGCTATTTTGCTTTCGGGTCAACAACATACAATTTATGAAGTAATTTCACATATTATAATGATAAAAGGCTTTAGAAAAAAGCATAAATTTACACAAACCCATATTTCTGTGTCAGCCAATTTGAGAGTAAATCTGAGAGATGTTTATAGTAGATTCCCATCTGTGGGAATAAACTTGATTTCTTGGCAGAATAGTCATTAATCAAACCATCAGTTTCCAGTCTCTCTGCACCAAAACAAAGATCAATGGAAAACAACTCAGTCAGGAGTGTCGGAGTGAAAGGCCTGCTGGGTGTGTGTGTGTGTGTGTGCGCGCATGATTACAGTAGGGAAAGCGTGCTGTGAGAAAAGCATGTAACATGTGTCTTTGACAGATATGAAACACATTCATGAGAAACTAGGGCAGTCACAATTATAAGTGTTATTGGCTTTTAGTTGTCCAACAAATAATTGTGATTAATGGTTTAATTGACTTTTGCAACACTTACATTGTGCGTTTAATGAAACGTGCACAAGTCATTTATTCACTCAAAATGATTAAATCTGAAGTGTTTGTTGAAGTTTTCAATCATACAAGTTCTCTATAAGGAAAAGACACGGTTTGAAGGTAAAACTCAGTGCTGAGTAGATTACTAATTGTAGTCTGTTACTGATTCCAAATTACATGACAAAATTGTAGTGCATTACATTACTGTAATCTGACTACTTTTTTAATTACTTTTAGATTACTTTTGACCTAACTCGTTTATAACATTGATTTGTATAGGATACTAGTGTACCATATTGATATAGAAATACAAATAGATAGAAAATAGATTCTAATTCTAGAAAATAGATTCAATTCTAATTTGTTAAATTTAATTAATAATATTGCTTGTAATGTGTTGCCACGATTCTATTGATTAGATAAAGCATATGCATTTTTACAATGTATTTAAAGGGATACTTCACCGTTTTTTCATATTAAACTATGTTATTCCCTTAACTAAGACGAGTTGATACACACCTCTGTCGTCTCAATCGCTCTGGCGTGCGAGACACTTTGATAGCACTTAAAGGGATAGTTCACTTTGATATTAATTTTTGATATATGTTTATCTTACATCAAGGCCATCCAAGATGTAGGTGTCTTTGTTTCCACAGTATTTTCAATTTTGACATTTTTCAGTCAAACGGTTGTTTTCTATCAGTCATACACTGGAGGCTAAGGGGGTCCACCAAAAAGCATGCACAGAGAAGTCCAAATTAAACATGATTTAATGACTTGTAAATGTAAGTACACATTGATGGCCCAAGACATGAAACGAGCGGTTTGTGTGAGAAAACGAACAGTATTTATATCGTTTTTACCTCTTGTAATCATAGCCATGACAAAATGATCTGACGGCACGGGCGCTTCGGTCTGCGCATGCGCCGGAAGTGATCGCTTGCGCGCCTACGTCACTCAATATTTACACGGAGATTTCGGAAGTTTTACCTTTCACTAAACATATCTAGATATACGAGAAACCGCAATGGAAGACGATTTCGGTATATCTAAATATGTTTAGTAAAAGGTAAACTTCCGAAATCTCCGTGTAAATATTGAGTGACGTAGGCGCGCAAGCGATCACTTCCGGCGTAACATTGAACTGATTCAGTTCAGTTCAGTTGGACATTGCACAACTGATTCAGATCACTTGGACGTCACTGTGACTACACGAGGTAAAAACGATATAAATACTGTTCGTTTTCTCACAAAAACCGTTCGTTTCGTGTCTTAGGCCATCAATGTGTACTTACATTTAGGAGTCATTAAATCATGTTTAATTTTGACTTCTCTGTGCATGATTTTTGGTGGACCCCCTTAGCCTCCAGTGTATGACTGATAGACAAGAACGGTTTGGCTGAAAAATGGCAAAATTGAAAATACTGTGGAAACAAAGACACCTACATCTTGGATGCCCTTGAGGTGAGCTAAAACATATCAAAAATTAATTTCAAAGTGAACTATCCCTTTAACTAGCCCAGTTTATTCAATATGGGCCAAGCAGAGAATTGACCAAACACCTCCACGTTTTCCCTATTTAAATACAGATACTCGAGTAGTGTAACTCGACCTAGGACGGTGACACAAAATAAAACGCAGCGCTTTTCTAAGCGTGTAAAATGGATAACTATATTGTATGGCGGAATACCACAGCAAGTGATTGGGAGCACTTCGACTCGGCGTAGTAATATCATCACTCGTGAAAAGTCCTCTCCCCCCTCTCACTCTCCGGAGTGATGATATTACTGCGCCGAGTCGAAGTTTCGCCCCTATTGAATGAACTGGGCTAGTTAAGTGTGATCAAAATGTATGTATAGACTCGTCTTAGTTAAGGGAATAACATAGTTTAATATGAAAAAACAGTGGAGTATCCCTTTAATCATAGAGCATGGCGTTTTTTTGAAAATCTAAAATTGTTTTCCGTGATGTATAACGTTTAGGGGTCGGGTTAGTGTAGGGGGCTAGAATATACAGTTTGTAAAGTATAAAAACTATTATGTCTCTGTAAAAATCCCCATAAAACATGGAAACCCAACGTAAGTGTGTGTGTGTTAACATGCATATGCATATGTATGGCAAAACCTGCATGAGTAGACACAGCTGTTTTTATGTTGTTCCTCACCAACAGCTCATCCATGCTGGTCTGGCATTTCTCCAGGTTGATTCTCTTGATGGCCACACGCTCCTGTCGTGGGTTACAAAGAGCTGCCTGGACGACTGCTGTGGCTCCGCTACCTACAAAACACAGTATACACACGTCTCTAATGAACAAAGCACGCAGTGTCAAAGACATTATTCTAGATGAAAGGCGGACAGTAAACAAGCCCTCTGGGAAATAAAAGCGTGTGCACAGCAGGTGCAGCTGATCATATGATGTGCTTATAGGATTGATAATAGACGTGTGTGGCGTCTTTGATAAGTAGCTTTACTGTGGAGACAAATGGCATGCTATACTAGAAATGCGCGTGCATATTATTTCAATAATTGCATTTGGACCTTCTATTTACCATGTAATCCTCAATCAACTCATCAGCAACAGACAAACAGTCAGCATAAGCAAATATGCATCGTGTGAGTGGGGAAAGTATGTGAAACCTTTTCTAAACCAGTGAACAAAAAGCTTTCAGTTCTGCAATATTCAGGCTGAGGTCAGGACTGGGTCACTCAAGGTGGCATATTTTTATTGGTTAATTTACTTGATTTGGGTCCTGTTTCAGCTGGCTGACAGACGGTCTTCAGTCTCCTGAAAAATGGGAACTCGGGAATTAGTTTTCACATCAACGTCAGCAAGCTGTCCAGGTGACTTTTTGCCCACTTTAGACGTACAGCGATGCTTTTTTTGGGACCGCAGTGGCTGTCCTCTTCCTCTATCAGTCATCTTTGCAGAACACCCACAGCGCTGCTGAACTTTCTCCATTTGTAGACCGTTTGTTTCACTATGTGTCATGGCATTCGGAGATGATTTCGTAACCCTTTTCATCTTGCAAGTCAAGTTTTGAGATCTCTTTTGGTTTTTGAAAGTGTCTTAAACTGATATCCCGCATATCCCTCCATTCTTTATACTTTTCAACTTATGATTCAATTACTACTGCGAAATATACAATGCAGGTACTAGATATGATGTAGTCTCGAGACCAATTTCTGCTTTCTCGGACTCGTCTCGAACTTGTTCCTTCAAAGACTCGGTCTTGACTCGGACTCGGCATAGGTGGTCTCGTCCCCATCACTAACGACTAGGGTTGGGTATCGAGAATCGAGTATCGATTGGAACCGAGACTAACTTTTCGTTTTTCCCGGAATCGTTCAAAAGTTAAAATTTTGATTCCTAGTTTCGATATTCACAGTCCGCCGAGCGGAAGAAGAAACCGCTGAACAACACCAACGAAGAAGCGTCTACCGGAAGTGTTGGCATAACCACGCGAGTCGAACATGAGTACCTTACGTCGGTGATCCAAAGTGTGGCTTCACTTTTTTCAAAATAACGAAATCTCGGCAAAATGCAAAATTTGTGACAAAAGGAGTATTTTTACAGAAGGAGTATTTCCTTCAGAATGGATTTTTTCCTTCAGAAAGGCCGTTGGTTAGCAAGGTTAGCTAAACTTTTTTGACCCTGCCTCTTAAAAGAATCGGAATCGAGAATCGTTAGGAACCGGAATCGAAACAAGGAATCGGAATCAGAATCGTTCAAATTCAAACGATACCCAACCCTACTATCGACTGCTCTAAACAATTCCCAATCTAGCTTAGTCTGTAGACCTAACTGTTGATAATTAACTGGGGTGATATTAAATCATGAATATCAAAACTGATATGTCGGGACAAAATCTCGACTCGGACTTGCTTCCTCAAAGACTCGGTTTTGACTCGGACTCGACTGAAACTCAGAAACTCAATGGGTTCACATACTTTTTCCTGCAACTATATAGGCCAGCTGCTGCCATTCTCTCCAAATATATAAAAAAAATACAGTATTGGTTGACCACTAATAAATATACACCCCACACATGCACACAGGCAGAGGGACAAAATCATTTCAAAATAATATGATAACACAAAATACATAACATAATAAAACTCTAAATAATAACATTCAGAAAGTTTGCTGTCAATAATTTCTCATTTCAATTCTTTTTTCATACATTTTTTGTATTTGCTTGATCAGAAATGCAGTAAAAACAGTAAAGTGTTGTGAAATATTACAACGACAATGACTCTTTTCTATTGTAATATATTTTCAAATGTAATTTATTTCTGTGATCAAAGCTGATTTTCATTATTACTCCAGTTTTCAGTGTTGTACTACTTCATATTTTTGTTGAAATTAAAAAAAAAAAAATCATTAAAAAAAAGTAATAAAACTGACAACAATCAATCTATCTACTCAAAATGTATTAGACTTAATTTGACAGAGGCAGTCTGGTTGATCAATTAAATGTACACATTTACTCAACAATAAATGCATAAAACATTTAGAGCCAATTGCTGATTCACATTAGATAAAGCACATTGTGTTTGTGACTGTAAACACACACAAACACACACATATAGTGCTGCTATTCACACTGCAAGATTGTGGTACTGTGCCAAATGTGGCTGAGAGATAAGGAGGGGGTCCTGAACACATCACACACCGATTAGCAGAACAGCAGAGAAACTTTACAGAAGCTAATCGCTAAAGCTAGCTAGCTGTATAGCTGTAGTTACTCTTAAAAGTAATTAATTACTAGCTACTAAAAATGATTGCATTACTTATTATCAATTACTTTCTAAATCCCATCAACCTCAACCAGTTAAACAATAGACATGAAACTGCTCTTTTAATTCTTTCAAATAAATAATATAAAATTGCACAAAGTATTCTTGAACTGACCAAAGTATTTAAAGGGAGAAAGTTACAATAACATTAGACATTAAATTCTGATGTTAACTCCGCTATTATTTTATATAGAATTGTTCTGTAGTCTATACAGTATTAATGCAATTAAGTAATCCCTCCCTTACTTTACTTTTTCAAGTAGTGAAACATAATTAAATTACAGTAATTAATTATTTAACATCATACTAATGATTGAAAATAAAAACTGAATTGATTTAGAGATTAACAACTTATGTGTGTAATATTTCATCTTGGAAAAAAAAAACAGAGAAAAACAATCGTAAAAGAAATGGTAATTCATGGAAATTTTAAACTAACATCTTGATGTTGATCACTATGAAACTATGAAAAACCGCAACCACATAATAGTTTGCTTATATTGTTTTGCTGTGAAATCTTGAACGCTTTATTCCTAAACTGAGGCAACTTAGTTTCCTTGAACTAAAACTTGTATTAAAGTGTGAGTTTCAAATAGGATTCAACATGCTTTTGTTGAGCATGTATTTGTTCATCACTATATTGCAATTATATTTTGCCCCCCCAATAAAAACCACAGAGCTTTTATCATAAAACTAAGTATTTACATAATCTTACGAAGACATATTATTACGAGATACTGAGTGACATTTTATCCAAGTAGTCTGCTATACTGTTATAAAGATATCATTGACTTACATTACAATAATTTTATCTTTTTAGCCTTGTAAATATGAGCAGCATCTGCACCAAATTGCACATTTTGCTCAGTTAGGGCCTCCTAATTAAACAAAGGTGTTTTTTTTTTTAATCAATGAGCTCAATATTCTCACTATATCATACTATACAATTCATAAAAGCCTGATACAATAAAATCTAAAACACATATGCAAACTTTGTGTAAAACTTTGTGAAGTAGCAGATTGAGTAGAGATGCCGTGCACGAGCAGCAGAGGGCGTCACGAGCACGGCGCAAACGCATCGCATCGCATGCAGCAAGACTCAAATGACACCTTTAAATCTCACAGACACAGACAGTGCAAGTGCTGAGAACATCGACACCTACAGTACACACTCAGAACATGAAATATCATACTTAATATTTATGCAAATCATTTATAGATATAAGTTAATAGTGTTTTGCTTAATATCCGCCAGCGTGTACTATGCATCAACTTTAACCACAAAAACTTGGTTGCACTTTTCGGCTAAAATAACCTACCCTACACACGTGTCATCATACCAGCACCTTTCCTGTATCTCAATGATGCCTCATCACTCATACGCGCGCGCTGTCCTGATCATGACATTACACCCAACAGCTTCAAAACATACAGTAGCTTCACTTGTCATATCCGCATTGCATTACTGTCATCGGCCAGTGCATATGGGAAAAAGCCGGTAGGCCCAAACCAACAAACAGCAGCCACTGACGGGCTCAAATCCATCTGTATCTACCCACCGATGACCTCCTGGAGCTCGTACGCCTCCTTCACGATGGGCCAGCTGGTGCTGAGCGAGGGCTGCGGGGTTTGGACGGCCGCCGGGGAGTCGCTCTGCTCCGCCATGATGATGCTGAGAGAGTCGCTCTCACACACTCACTCACTCACACACTCTCTCTCTTTGCTGCTGCTGCTGGATCATTGACATTCACTACCGCCTGCGAGAACACATCCGGAGACACACACACATCTTCAATCCTATCCTACTACAGCGAAGGCTGAGCTCATGAATATTCATCTCAGCGCGCTGATATCACTAGCGTGGCTTGTGGATATTAATTAGCTGTTATTAATTCTATTTTGTATTATTAATAAATGCTTGAAGAAATAAAAAAAGTACACACATTAACAACAATTATCGTCATAGTCATAACATAATAGGCTACGGACATTAATAATTAGCTAGCTTATGAATATAGATGCGGTCTTGGTGACGTTGATCGTCTATAGTCATGTTTGCTAGTTTCATTTATTTCGGAGTTGTTCTTCGGCTTTTTTTATTTCAGATTTTTGTTAAGTTATGAAGGATCGCATCGTGGCCACTTTTAATTGTTTTATTCGGCATTTTCACTTTATACATGTCTTATTATTACAAGAAATAGCCTATTATTTAATTAGCCTACTACTAAACTGCTATTGACTAGATATTTTATTATGTTATGAACATCATTTTTATTTATTTTTGTCTAGCCTATTTGTTAGTGATGGATGTGATGTGGACATATTAATGTCTTTAGATTTGTGGAGTAAAAATTATCGTTTTTAATTTAGAGTCAAATTAAATTAGACCCTTGGGGTATGATGACCCGATGGCATGTTGTTACTAGTGCTATTTATTGTTTTTAATTGTAATAATTATTGTAATTAATGGGGTTATTATTTAATATTTCCATGACTTAGATGTATATTTCAGACATCTTCCCCTTCATTAAAAGCTACAGGTTAGTAATACTCCAAGTGATGACGTCTTTGAGTAATTGTACATTTTGTAACAACTTATTTAGCAAAGGTTTCTATTTATACTTCCTATCACAATATCATCAGCATGCAGGTTATCAACTCCAGTTAAAAAGATTTTGAAAAGTGGTTAGGTCTTCATAAATTTGGCTTTATGTTCCTATAAATAATTTAGCTAGATTTAATATAGGCCTGGTTTAATCACTACATGTATTGACGTCTAATTCACGCCATCACCCAGCAGGTGGCGCCCTTTCATAAGAGTTGGCAGCTAACGGGCCCATGACACGTGACCCGCTTTAGTCCGATTTATGCTTTTATTTTGATTTAGAACTATAAGGGGATTTACATATTGCAAGAAGCCAGACTAATACCTAGAAAAACATGCTTTATTATATATAGGGGAAATATAAAAACAGAGATGTACAAATTCTACATATTGATTGCTTTCTTGTTATAATATAGGGAGCCATAAAACCCTTAGAAACCAATATAAAAAGTTTATTTTAGATATTATGGTATTATGGTTCACTCTAACTGTTAAAACTGTCTTTGCTAAAATAATTTAAATAATTTCAAATATAATATGAGATGAAAAGCAACCTAAACGACAAATAGAATTAAATAAGTCATAAGCACCAAAATTACTAATTTATAGTAATAAATAAATAAGGAGTAAAACTGACCTAAACATAAATTAAACCTTAATAGTATTTAAACTTGAAGATTAAACTGAAATTAAAAATGAAAGCTGATAATATGAATAGCTATTTCAAAATATTAATAAAAACTAATGTAGCCTATATAAATGATACTAAAATAACACTCGTTTAGTTATGTATGACCTATAACCTACACTGTCAGAAAAAAAGGTACGAAAGCTGTCACTGGGGCGGTACCTTTTCAAAAGGTACACTTTTGTACCTAAAGGGTGCACATTGGTACCTTCATGGTACACTTTTGTACCTAAAGGGTGCATATTGTTACCTTCATGTTATGCACCCTTTTGGTACAAAAGTGTACCTTTAAAGGTACCGCCCCAGTTACAGCTTTCGTACCTTTTTTTCTGACAGTGTATAGACCTATATATGACTTCAATATGAATCTGAGTTTTTTTAATTCTATATAGCCTATCAACCCTGTCTCCCTAATAAAATCAAAGAGTGCTTTACTATTTATTTCACTTGACCATTTTATTAAAACCTCAAATGTATGAATTAATTCAATTTTTTCCTTTCTTCTTGTTCCTCAAAAATCACATGAATTTGTTTCTTCAACATGACATTGTTCACATCATAACCCATTTGGATGTTTTGTGTGCTTTTTAAATTTATAATAGAATGATGTTAGGGCATTACAAATAGTCTCTTATTTTATTGATTTATATCTTATTTGATTTACATTAATGAAGAAAAATATGCCCTTTTTAACATTGTTCTACTTTCCTCTCCATTCTTCTATTCCTTTATTCCATCTTAAAACCTTAATTACTGACTTGCTTAATGGAAATGTATCTCTATTGTTGTTTAAAGCTTGTTTTGCTAATTTATCTCTGAATCGTTTGAGCCATCTGTAAATATTTAAATAAGGGGAACATATACTGAAAATGCTAATGGAAAGCTACTTCTCATTCTGCTTTTTTAAACCTCCAACAGATGCAGATATACTTGAGGTGTGTTAACCTATGGCTCATAATGCGGAAATTACAACTGTTGGGCTCATCTTGATAGGCTATTTCATTTTGTCGGCATATATTTTAATCCTCACCCAAAGCTTCTTTTACAACTTTTATTTTGTTCCCAGCACTTCTGTAAAACCATACTTGTATGATGTTCTTCTTAATGCCCCTTATCCCAGTAATTAATCATTAATTGACATTTTTAAATGGCATCTATCACTGTCTCATTGAGCTTGTATTTTAATGAGTTTCTCTAACAAGTTTTTTTTTTTTTTTTTTTTTGACCATATACCACACTATTATAATTAAATACAGACTGGATCAGAGCCACATAAACAGTTTTTCATAATAAACATAGAAAATATTAATTTAATTTCTTCCTGCATCGTTCCGTTAAGCGACGCGTATATGATTGACAAGCTCACGGACCAATCAGCATCGCGGAGGCGGAGCGTGTCGCTCGCATTCTACTTCCCTACATTGGAGAGAGTGGAGACACACAACACAAACGGGCGGTCCATAATCACCAACATCATCATAATCATCATCACACACTGGACCTGCAAAGATCAGCCGTGAAAGAGCGTCGCAAAGCCGCATCGGCCATCGAGCGCACATCAGCACGGGCGTCAAAGCGTCAGATCCGCTGGACATGGCAGGGATTCTGGTGTGGTTCTGGAACGAGAGGTTCTGGCTCCCGCACAACGTAACCTGGGCTGACTTGAAAAATACTGACGAGTCAACCTTTCCACAAGCCGAGGATCTGTATCTAGCGTGTCCTTTAGCATTCTGCATGTTTATGATCCGGCTGGTCTTTGAGAGGTACGTCCAGTGTCACATCTTCATCCTCACCATCAGCACCAGCATCATCATCACTGCTGAAGATGATGTTGCGCTCAGGGCTTCATCCTCAGCTGATGATCATGGTGGGACTGGGTTTGTGCTCCTTCACATTGTCACTGAATCCTTGTATGAATTAGGACAATGACAGGAACACAATATGGCCCTTCTTCTGGAATAATGATACTGATGAAAGTAGGTCAGTCAGTGCCTCTCTTTGTTTTGTAGATCAGTCTTAGGTGTAGGTTTTGGTTTTTCTAAACGGGATGCTTTTATAGCAAATGTAAAGTTTTTGAATTTCCCATTGACTCCCAACACTGGGGCATCTTGTCACACTACTGTATATGGGGTAAGTTGTCACAAAGGGAACCAAACAAAAACTAAAGAATTTAGTTGAATTAATACGTTTCCTAATTATGCGTTATGTCACGTAAGTGTATTATGTAACATATTCAGGTTTATAGAAACCAGTCAAAGGCATGTATTAATCCAAATTTTAGGTCATCTTATTTAGAATATTTACAAATTTTAAAAGAAACGTCATGGCCTACATTTTTAAGAGACTCATGACCTACATTTTGCAATTTGTCACAATGTTTTTTGAAATAATTTCATGTTATTTGAGCAAAAATACCACAAAAACAGTAATATTGTGAGAATTATTATCACAATATCAGTGTTCAATTTATTTAGCTGAATTTTCAGCATCATTACTCAAGTCTTTAGTGTCACTTCAGAAATCATTCTAATATGATGATTTGATGCTCAAGAAGCAGTTTATTATTATCAATATTGAAAACAGATGTGCTGCTCGATATTTCTTTAGAAACCTTATTTTAAAAAAATTTTTGTCAATTTAATGCACCCTTCCTGAGTGTTCATTTCTTTAAAAAAAATCTTACTGACCCCAAATTTTTGAATGGTAGTATATATATATATATATATATATGTAATTATATATTAATAGGTAATCATGCTCATCTTTTTTGTCACAACCATAATAGATCCACTTTACATTTTTTTTTTATTTACATAATTGTTTATGCAGGTGCTGTTAGTTGCTGCAACACCAGAAAACTATTTCAAAAACGATTGCATTTGACAGAAAAAAAAAATGGTAATTTTATCGACATTTGTTTTTAGCTGGACTGTGCTGTGGCTGTGGTAATAATCAGTTTGAAAATTTTCGTAGTCTTCGAAATAATTCCATAATGCAATTTTTTTTCCCAGTGTTTGATTCAAAACCACTGCTATGGTTTTATAAATAAATACGGATATATTTTTAGTGCATATTTACTAACAAACAGCCTCTGTGACAACTAGCCCCGGCCTCCCCTATATCATAATTATATCATTTAGATTATTCACTGTGCACTTGATATCAGCAGTATATCATGCTTCCCAGTTGGTTAATACGATTAATTATTAATTATGATAAGTGTGTTGGCTTTCGATGTCACAAAAGCAGCAGTTTTGACATATTCCCAGCGGGACAGCGCAGTGTCAGGTTTTGTGTTTATGTATGCCACAGACCATCTGCTCTTCACCTTCATCTGACAGACTTCTTTACAGCTGAATGTTGATCTTTTTTGTTAAAAGGTGAAATATACTGTCTCCTCTGGGATTGCATTTAGGGAGGATGATGGATCTTCTAGGAATCCTTTTTTTATTACCAAGTTTAACCCACGTGTTCAGGTAGTTGAAACATTTGGATCTGACTTTGCATGTAAAAAATACATTTTCAAAATAATAAAAAGCAATTAGTGTCCAACCAAAAGTTGATAAAAGCTGTCGTGATCTTCACCGTATAGCGTGGAAAGAGGACGCATTATCTGAAGTGCGAACGTGCTCTTCCATCTCCTGCATTGTACACCCGCTGTAAAGTTTAACGATGAGGAACAGCACATTTATGGCATTTCAGCCCCACAAAAGCAAACAGTGTGCAAGTGGCAAATCAGTCTTTGCACGGACTTCATAACCTTATCATGGCTCTTCAGCTTCTATAAGAGTCATTTCTGGAGCATTTTCTGCACTGAATTGCATTTTCATTGTGTGACGGCTCTTAATTGGATGAGCTTATTAATTAAGTGGCAAAAGCTCATTAAAACTGTCTGCTGTCTAGTGACATCTCACTTCCCATGTCCAGCATTAGAAGACCAGTTCATTTCGAAGTATTTGCATTAGGGCTGTGCAAAAATTAATTGCGATTAATTGCATCCAAAATAAAAGTCTGTGTTTACATAATATATTTGTGTGTGCTGTATATAATTATTTTGTATATATAAATACCTATGCATGCATGTATATATTTAAGAATTATTTGCGCTTAAATTCTGTATATATATATACTGTATATATAAAAATACATAATATATAAATGCATGTAAAATATATACATGCATGTGAGTGTATTTATATATACAAAATAATTATATACAGCACACACAAATATATTATGTAAACACAGACTTTTATTTTGCATGCGATTAATCGCAATTAATTTTTGTACAGCCCTAATTTGCATATATATATATATATATATATATATATATATATATATATACTGCTCGTCAAAAGAAAAAAAAAAGTTGCGGTTCGGATTTAAATAAGCATATACTTAAGTTGATGGAGTGTGTAACTTTTCATTTATAAAGATTCATAGGAAGACACATCATGGCCGTATTCCAGGATGACAATATCAAGATTCAACTGGCTCAGATTTAGAACGAATGGTTGGTAGGAGCATGAAGAATCATTTTCACACAAACGGCTCCACAAATCAGCCAATATCACAGAATTCATCACAGGAAGATGTCATTAACACTGCCTTTGTTAGTTAAAGGTTTTTAAAAGGGTTTTAAATTGAAATTCAATGAATTACTTCCAGGAACATTTAAGAAATTGCCAGTTTATCATTTCAAACTTTGGACAAATTATCAATATGTGCTTAAAGAAAGAATGCGATAAACATGGCTTTCATCTTAAAAAAAAAAAATAGTTCATATTTTGTCAAATTAGAGATTAGAAAATACCCAAGGCAATGACCCATGAAATGTCTCTTCTGGTTGTTTTTCCTTTATGACATTCTCATTATCAGATCGACAAGATATAATCTCATTAGCATAAAAACAACTTTAATGCAGTTGCTCTGATCATGTTGATCAGACCTTTGCGAAAGAAGCTAGTCAAGCGAAGTGCTTACAACTGGCCCGTGTGGTTCCCCTCGCTGTGTCTGCAGATTTGGCAAGACTTCCACAGCGATTGCAGACAGGGGGATTTCTTCAGTCTTAGATTTCTGTGGTTGCAGGCATTTTACCTCTGAGGTTCCCTTCCAAAATAGATTTTTAATGCAGCCCGTCAGACCTTCAGAATTAAGCTATCAAGCATTGATGTCACGAGATATAAATCTAATAAAGTCTTCTTTGTTATTGGTTGTTGTAGGTTTATTGCAAGACCGTGCGCACTTGGTCTGAAAATCCAGGCCAATGGACCGCAGAAGGCTCAGCACAACGCCATTCTGGAAAAGGTCTTTACTGCCATCACCAAGGTAAAGACCATGTTTGATTCAAAAGCTCATTCTGATTCTGAGTTGACTCCTCATCCATCCATTCCTTCTATCTCTTCCAACCATCCATCCATCCATTTATTCCTTCCATCCATTCCTTCCATCCATCCATCTCTTCCATCCATTCCTTCCATCGATTCCTTCCTTCCATTCATCTATCCCTTCCATACCTTCCATCCATCATCCATCTCTTCCATCCATCCATATATCCATTCAGTCCTTCCATCCATTCCTTCCTTTCATCCATCCATCCATCCATCCATTTCTTCCTTCCATCATCCATCCATCCCTTCCTTCCATTCATCTATCTCTTCCATCCATCATCCATCCATCCCTGATTCCCTTCCATCCAACCACCCATCATCCCTTCCATCCATCATCCATCCATTCCTTCCTTCCATTCATCTACCTCTTCCATCCATCCATCCCTTCCATCCATCAATCCATCATCCATCCATCCCTTCCTTCCATTCGTCTATGTCTTCCATCCATCCATCCATCCCTTCCATCCAACATCCATCCATCAATCCCTTCCATCCAACCATCCATCCATCCGACATCCATCCATCCATCACTTCCATCCATCTCTTCCATCCATCATCCATCCATCCATCCCTTCTATTTGTCAATCCCTTCCATCCATCCATCCATGTAGTTGTGCAGACTTTTATCTGTACTTTTGACATCCTTAAAAAGGCACCAATGGCCAATAAAAAGTTTTTTAATAAAAAAATGTTAATATTGATTATCAGTAGGGTGACCACCATCAAACAAATCAAATGTGGGACAATTATAAGTTTGTGTGGGACAAGTTATCAACACTAAAACATACCCTGAAACTGTTATATAATGTCTATCTAACTTGATAAAAACATTTATATTCTGCCTTTCAGTTGATAAAAATGATTTGTTCTTTAGTCCCTTCCAGTAAAAAAATCTTTTTTTTTTCCTAAAAAAAAGTCATTTAAATTCAGCATCACTGAGCCCAAAGGCAGCAGGAATCATGTATATAAATATTTTAGAAACAGTTCTGACTAAGTCCAACAAAAATCCAACAAAATAAACAATGAACAAATAAAATATAAAGCAACATGAAATTAGATAGACAGTCTTATATATTAATAATATATTAAAAACCAAAACCAAAAACGTTCATATTTTTAGAAAGGATGTGAATTAAAACAACCACAGCAAGTTAAACAACAATAGATAAATTCCGTTAAATTAAAATTTTAATTTACCTAATTACCCATTTGTTTTCCGACAGGGAACATATATGAAACGAATCACCGGTCCACATTTTGATTGACAGCCGTCACAACCTACGAGTGACTGTGTTTACTCCTTTCTTTTCTTCTTAAACTACGCAGCAAAAGTAATAAGTAGAATCCTTTCTTAAAAAGGCAAAAGAACGCATGCATGTTTTCTTAATATGATATTAAAAACTAATAGACTGATGAAAATGCGGGACATTTCCTCAATATGCGACGTGCGGGACAAGAGGTGAAAATGCTGTGCAGTACAACGCAAAGCGGGACGGGTGTTCACCCTAATTATCAGTAAAAAAAAAAAGTAATTTCAGTAATTCATGTATGCTATTCTTACTGGAGCTGGAATGAATCATGACATTGAAAAGATTTTTTTTTCAGTCATTTATCTTTAAATAATTGTTAAATTATGCAGAAATGTGATTAAAAACTGCAGAGACTGTGAATCAGAATCAAATCAAGCGCGTCATAGTTGCTGAAAATTGATTACAGAGAATCACATTAAGTGAACAGGACATTTCTACAACAAATCCACTGTGAACTCTCCTCCCCTATGAACTGAATCAGTATGCAATGTCAATTAAGTTCATTTATCTTGAATCAAATGCAAATTCATTTGAGAATGAGGACCAGCACAATCACAGCATGATCTTTTGAACTAAAGCAGAGCAAAAGTTGCCAAGTAAAAGAAGAATAACGTTTCAACTTTTTGAGCTCTTGTCTTGGAAAAGAGAACAGTGTTGATGGTGACGGCAGTATGGATTGACTATACAGTAATCATAATCTCAAAGCTATGAATGCAGAGTGATAGCGTGGCTCTTTGACGTGTGTCGCTTTATCAAAGCTCATGTGCACTGACGCACCGGGACTATTTTTAGACACCACAGAACTAAGTTTCCTTAAAAAATGTTCAGATTCTCAAACACACAAGATCCAGGCACACTTTAAGAATAAAGAGACAATTTCTGCCTGAATTGAAGGAATTGAAGAGAGAGAGAGAGAGAGAGAGAGAGAGACCTCAGGGCGAAACTCATGTAGCATGTTAGCAGAGACCTCATTCTAATTGGAATTTGATTGAGTTTGCATTAAACCCATTAGAGATAAACATCAGTTCTAGGGCTGTTATGAAATATTTTTGGTATAAAAGTAATTTTCTTTAGAACATTTTTTTTGGCCAAAGCTCTGGTGTCCTGGCTGTATCATCCTGAAGTGATTTGTTTTGCAATGATAGCTGGATATTATCCCGCTTTTTGCATGACTACTTACCAAATAAATAAATAGACTTTTTTGGGGGGGTTTTTTTATGAGAAAGAGAGCTGAGTAAAACTAATTCATCTCATTTAATGTTAAATTCAACATTATACATTATTAAAATCAAAAGTGGTAAATTGAATAGTTGTATTTTATTAACTCATTTGTACAAAGATGAACAAATAGCATACAAATGTATTGCTCGTTGTTAATGCATTAACTAATGGGACCTTATTGTAAAGTGGCAACAATATTTGACTGCTGAATGCTACGATGACCAATCAGAATCAAGTATTATTTTCAGTTTTTGCTGAAGTATCGATAATTGTGAAATTCAACTGCTATTTCAAATTACTTGTATCATGAAATTAGACTTTGCCCACCAATTTTCGTGATTTCAATACTGACCAAAAAGAATAATGATTATGATTTTTAATTGATTATGATTTAATTGTGTATTTTTACAATTTCATAAATTGTGGACCCGTCAAACTTGTTTTTCGTGCCAAACTCAGATTTTCTTAACTCTCCTTGTTTTACAGAATAACTTCACATGCTAATCCGACTGAACCGTATACGGTGGCCAATGATGGTCAGCGGATCCTCAAACAATGACATACTTCGTTAGTTTTGTTTGCATTTTGTCCAGTGTCATTCTCAGTCTCGTTCAGACAAGTTCAAATCGGCATATGCGTTCAGTAAGCTCAAAAAAAAAAAAATCTATGAAATGTGCCTTTAGAAATTAGGGCATGGAAGTGAAGAAGAAAGATTTGTTCATTCACAACTGATTCAGTGAATCAGTCAGCACAGCAGAACATCACAGTGTGATTATGTGTCTCACTGGCTCATATGCAGATGACAACTGTTTTAAATGTGCATTGAGTGATTTTTTCAAGCTGTTAAATCCAAATCCAGGCGGTTTGTTTGTCCTGGAACAGTGTCAGATCTCTGCAGTGACATGCTTGTGTCTGCTGTGTGTTTCAGCACCCCGATGAGAAGAGGTTAGAGGGTTTGTCCAAGCAGCTGGACTGGGACGTGAGGACCATCCAACGCTGGTTCAGACAACGACGCAACCAAGAGAAACCCAGCACACTGGCGCGCTTCTGCGAGAGCATGTGAGAATCCGCTTTTTGGCTGTGCTTGTTTTGTCGGGGCGCCTGATTTGTTATTAACTTTTTGTGCATGATCTGAATTTAAATGGTTGTAATTCATGAATGATTTGGAATACAGACAAAAAAAAAGGTTGGTCTGTTTTTAGAGAAGACACCCAATATTATTGCAGAAGTGAAAGCAGTTTCAAAACATGAAAGTTTACTGTAAAGCAAATGTAAAATATATATTTGGTAAAATAATTTGGACCCTAAAATCAAAGTCATGTGTCAAGTTGTGTTCAAAATTTGAAGTTCCTATCACAGAAATTGAGCCCGCTAAATGGTTTTAAAGTACTGTTTCCATATTAAATGCTATATATATATATATATATATATATATATGAAGAGTTCAGATGCAAAAGCCTCTAAATGCAATTTGAAATTTTCTTCTTTAATGATGATTTTTATCAAACTTGTATATTTAAGTTCAGTAATTTCACACTGAACTTAAATATACAAGTTTGATAAAAAAAATTATCATTAAAGAAGAAAATTTCAAATGGCATTTAGAGGCTTTTGCATCTGAACTCTTCATATATATATATATATATATATATATATCCAAAATGAATGAACTATTAATTTAAGTAATTCAACTTGAAAGGTGAAACTAATATAATATATACGTAGACTCATTACATGCAAAGTGAGATATTTCAAGCCTTTATTTGTTATAATTTTTATGATTATGGTTTATAGATATGAAAACCCCAAAGTCAAAATTAGAATATTGTGAAAAGGTTTCTAAGTCATAATCATTAAAATTATAACAAATAAATGCTTTAAATATCTCACTCTGCATGTATTGAGTTTATATAATATATTAGTTTCACCCTTTTGGTTGAATTACTGAAATAAATGAACTTTTGCACAATATTAAAATTTTTCGAGTTTCACCTGTGTGTATATATACACTCACCGGCCACTTTATTAGGTACCCCATGCTAGTAACGGGTTGGACCCCCTTTTGCCTTCAGAACTGCCTCAATTCTTCGTGGCATAGATTCAACAAGGTGCTGGAAGCATTCCTCAGGGAGTTTGGTCCATATTGACATGATGGCATCACACAGTTGCCGCAGATTTGTCGGCTGCACATCCATGATGCGAATCTCCCGTTCCACCACATCCCAAAGATGCTCTATAGGATTGAGATCTGGTGACTGTGGAGGCCATTTGAGTACAGCGAACTCATTGTCATGTTCAAGAAACCAGTCTCAGATGATTCCAGCTTTATGACATGGCGCATTATCCTGCTGAAAGTAGCCATCAGAAGTTGGGTACATTGTGGTCATAAAGGGATGGACATGGTCAGAAACAATACTCAGGTAGGCTGTGGCGTTGCAACGATGCTCAATTGGTACCAAGGGGCCCAAAGAGTGCCAAAAAAATATTCCCCACACCATGACACCACCACCACCAGCCTGAACCGTTGATACAAGGCAGGATGGATCCATGCTTTCATGTTGTAGACGCCAAATTCTGACCCTACCATCCGAATGTCGCAGCAGAAATCGAGACTCATCAGACCAGGCAACGTTTTTCCAATCTTCTATTGTCCAATTTCGATGAGCTTGTGCAAATTGTAGGCTCAGTTTCCTGTTCTTAGCTGAAAAGAGTGGCACCCGGTGTGGTCTTCTGCTGCTGTAGCCCATCTGCCTCAAAGTTCGACGTGCTGTGCGTTCAGAGATGCTCTTCTGCCCACCTTGGTTGTAACGGGTGGTTATTTGAGTCACTGTTGCCCTTCTATCAGCTCGAACCAGTCTGGCCATTCTCCTCTGACCTCTGGCATCAACAAGGCATTTCCGCCCACAGAACTGCCGCTCACTGGATGTTTTTTCTTTTTCGGACCATTCTCTGTAAACCCTAGAGATGGTTGTGCGTGAAAATCCCAGTAGATTAGCAGTTTCTGAAATACTCAGACCAGCCCTTCTGGCACCAACAATCATGCCACGTTCAAAGTCACTCAAATCACCTTTCTTCCCCATACTGATGCTCGGTTTGAACTGCAGGAGATTGTCTTGACCATGTCTACATGCCTAAATGCACTGAGTTGCCGCCATGTGATTGGCTGCTTAGAAATTAAGTGTTAACGCGCAGTTGGACAGGTGTACCTAATAAAGTGGCCGGTGAGTGTATATGAAGAGTTCAGATGCAAAAGCCTCTAAATGCCATTTGAAATTTTCTTCTTTAATGATGATTTTTATCAAACTTGTATATTTAAGTTCGGTAATTTCACTTAAATAACAATTAATAGGTAATTATCATTGCCATTTAAGTGAAATTACTGAACTTAAATATACAAGTTTGATAAAAATCATCATTAAAGAAGAAAATTTCAAATGGCATTTAGAGGCTTTTGCATCTGAACTCTTCATATATATATATATATGAAGAGTTCAGATGCAAAAGCCTCTAAGTGCCATTTGAAATTTTCTTCTAAAATGATCTTTTTTATCAAGCTTGTATATTTAAGTTCAGTAATTTCAATTAAATAGCAATAAAGATTACATATTAATTGTCATTTAAGTGAAATTACTGAACTTAAATACACAAGCTTGATAAAAATTGTCATTTTAGAAGAAAATTTCAAATGGCATTTAGAGGCTTTTGCATCTGAACTCTTCATATATATATATATATATATATATATACACACACACACACACACACAGGAGTATATTTTCCACTTTATATATAACTATAACTTTTATATAAATATAAATTAAATAAAATATTGTTTTCTTTGGAGTTTATTCATGTTGGAGTTTTTTGTACGATGAATCGTTCACGATAAGGCCAGCTACATGCGTTAAGGGCAATTCTGTAATATTTTTAAATGTTTTTGAAAAGTAGACTTTTTAAAATCACAGTAAAAACAATAATACTGTGAAATATTATTAGAATTAAAAAAAATAATATTTCATTATATATTTTCATTAAATATTTCAATATTTATTCCTGTAATCCAGTCTTCAGTGTTTGTTAAGCTCAATTCAAAGAAGAAAAGTATTAAATTCTCGATAATGTGAACATGGTCGGTTTTGATTTCTCGCTAAACCTGAGTTGTTTGTTCAACTTTTCTGCTGAACTCATTTGGTTGGTGTTGGTCCTTGTGTCTGAAATAGACAGGTCTCACCTGTGAGTATTATTGTGTCCCAGTGTTGGCTAGTTAGGCGGCATTAGGGCAAGTAGGCCACAGTCTATTCCTGTCTCTCTCTGTACCCTCTTGTCACCTGTCTTTGCTCGTCCTGTCCACAGAATCTCATTTTCTTGTCCTCAACTGCTCTATCTCTCTGCGTTACCAGTAGTTCTACATTTTCCCATAACTCAGACGTGATTTTAAATGAATATTTGACTGACATGCTGCATCATGTCACATTTGCATAAAGTCAACCTCTGCTAAACTCTCAACGGTGGCACTCGCTGTTGCTCATGTCGGCATAAATCAGCAACTTAATGTCTTACAATGGCTTTGTAGCACGGTATGTGTGAACACTGTCTCCTTGTTCACCGTTCGTAGCCTCAGCTGTAGGGTTCAATGACACTAATGTTCTGTCGGTTTCTCTCTGATCTAGCCCCAGAAGTAATAGTGACCATCTAATCAGCGCTAAAGCACGACACTGTGCCATTTCTTTCAGAAGCAATTAAGCCAAAGTCTTCAAAGATCACAGAACACGCTCACTTTTGAGAACTAGCCTAATGAGAACTATGTAATGCTGAGAATTATAGAGCTACTCTGATTCTTGCTAAAGGCACTATTGGAGATCATGTTTTGTGGTGCTTGAAAAAGTATTGCTTTTAGGGAAGAAGAAGCTGAAACAACTGTGATTCTCAATTTATCCAGAATCGTGCAGCTTTCATTAAACGTTTAGGGCCAGATGCATGTACATTTGCGAACGCAGCGTTAATAGCACCATGGCCAAGACGCAGAAAGCACTTGATGTGATGTACCAAACATGCAGTTCATCAGGTAATCAAAGCCTGTCCCCACCTACTATACCGTAAATTGCACGTATTTAAACACACAATTGAATGGGCCTCCTTTCTTTCCATTATGGATCAGCCAAGTCAGACAAAACAGCAAAAACTAAAATTAAGCGATAAGAGGTTGATCTGCTTGTTCATGAGGTAACAGCAAATTTATCATACAAGACCTTTGATTTCTTCCAGTAATCGGAATATTGCGTAGCTGCTTAATCTGTTACGCTTAAAGGGATCGTTTAGGATTTAGCAATAAGCTTTGTATTAAAAACCTGTATTTTCGAATTACCGTCATTTCCGCCCTCATATCCCCCTGAGATGAGAGATTTATGTATTTTTTGTCTGAAAAAAATCCTCCGATGACGCAAAAAAACGTCATTTTGCATCTTCGGAGGATTTTTTGTCCAGAGGAAAGACTTCAATCTAACTGAATTCATTCTGATTGGTGAATCTGAATGTAGTGTTTACATGAACGCTAAACAAGTGATCGGTTGATGTGCGTTTTAACATTGCTAAGAAAATTTCCGCTCCTCCGTGAGAGATACGAGACCGGTGGGTCTCACAGGTAATCACGCGCCGTTCTCCCGCGGCCCTCACTCGTCCCGCTCGCCACAGTAAACATGATGAATGGCGACTGTAGAACGCAAAAGCCGAATCCCGGATATTTTGGGGCAGACTCATCACGGAGACTCACTAGTAGCCTAGACTTGTTGTTTAACTACTGCGCTCTGTTACCGGTAGGCGTGGCCTCCTAGGGCAGCGAAGCAAGTGCATTCTGGGAATTGTTGTCTTTCGTCCACATACAATACATTTTCTGGCTTTTCTCAGTCTAGAATTCAAAAATAATTTCACATTTCTTCTACATAAATGGCATTTTAAATACACATTCATCTTTCCAGAGGTGAAGTATCCCTTTAAAGAACACAAACAGACATATAAGAACACAAACATTTCCATATATATATATATATATATACTATATT